AAGGAAGGATTGACTACTCCCGGAAGGGCACCTCCTGCTTATACTAACATATTAACTCACATTGCGCTTTAGCAGCGGTGGTCAGCAGTCGATCCGGTTCGATGAACTCGAAGGCAGCAGCGAAGTCGAAGCAGAATTTCTGAATAGTGTAGAGACACTGAGCGACGTCGACAATTGTGAACAGCGTACTGAAGCGATATGGTGTGATCTTTGTCTGAAATAAACAATGTTCGCTAACTTTTATATATCCTTTTGGAACTCAATCCTTATATATCCCTCAAATTGGACAGGTGCCAGAAGTGACGGTCGTCCTACCTTCCCGAGTGGCACGATGACGTAACAGCCATAGAAAGCAATACACATGGAGATCAAACCAAACAGTTGTGCGAACATGAACCATCTGAAACAGGGCACTAGTTAGATCTCTCGAACAGTAGAAGTGTTCGCAGATGAGGACCATACCTGTGAAGTGGTGTAACATTCAGAGTCACATTCCTCTTCTTACCCAGGTAGTGCATTCTCTTCCGCTTGTGTGGTGCCAAAGTTATCACAAAGTTTGCGCTGTTTTCATGGTTCCCAATTGCGTGGCAGGGTTTTGCATCTCTCCCGGTCCTTGCCAGTCCGCATTAGATGCCGTATACGAAGAGACTCCCTCGCATGCATCCTATTTCAATTCTTTTCTCGTCCATGTCACGCGCACTCTTGCTGAATTTGTAGAATGCCCCAAATCTACCCTGAAATAAATCCTACTACTCTATTAATTTTTGTAGTTTCTATTGCGTTTTCCTTTAGTGGTGGAACGCAGTGTGCAGTATCATACTAATCTGCAAAAGCACATCCTGCTACTTCCCGCTCAGTAACATTATGAAATGGCGTGAACGCTGTGTAAAAATGTCGTTGGAGTTCACCTATTCTTGACCCGTTCCCAATTTATTGGTCATCACCTCCCTCAGTAGCTCTTCATTCCCATCCCCAATTGCTCTACCACAGGTTTTCATCTCGTTAATGGGCTCCCGAACAATCGATTCCCCATCTCCTTTTTATTTACAACGCTTTTTAGTAAATGACTGAATAATGCAAGGGGATTAACTGTCTGAAATGGCAGGAAACTGCGCTCAATCTGCTTCAGAGAATCCATTAAATCACCCTACAGATTATGTCGATGTCCAAGTTCCATGAAGACGACCACACTGGTGAGTTCAAACGATGTCCGAAGTATTGGTGTTTGAAAGACCAACCATTCTACGTCGTTGGAGATTTCGACTAAATGTAAAGGCATCAGAAAACCAGTTGCTTATAAAAATCTGTAGCAGAGCCTTTCCAATCCATTAATAATTAAACAATATCAAAACGCCACGGATCTCTTTCACTGAGGGTCCTCTCTCACTGAAAGATCTCGAGCCGGTTGGTGGCGAGGCTACGTGGCGCGACCCCAGGTGGCGGATAGGGGGTAAATCGCGGACCAAAAGCCACCATGTACTTGCCCTGAGACGCAGGTGGATTCAGGGGATGGACTCCCTGTTTCTGTAGTGCTGTGTCGATTCATACCAGCTTCTCCATACAGGTGTATCCATGCATGCTTGCGTGTGTGGTGCGCTCTGTGTGTGTGCGGTTGGTATCCTGCATGTCGGCACAGCCAAAAGCTTGCATTCAAGTGACTGGGAAGTACATGGGAGGCGATTCGGGGCCGCCTCCAAAAAATAAGCCCCTTGTTCCGCTCCAGGATAGCGTGGCTAACTACCTGGAGGTCTATCCTAGCCCGCACGACAGAGCCTGGCAAGCTACTCGTGTGCCTTCAATATGCCGAAAACAGCAATATGGATGGGCCTCATTCCCCTGAACCTGAGGGAGCCCCCAATACGGCAGCGTTGGGTAGGACCGCTCGGGAGAGGCTGCTAGAATCTCAGGGAACCACACACGCCGGAATAGGCTGCCCTAAAAGAAAAAGACCAAGATGGCGATACTGTACTATTCTAACGCAACAGCGACGAATCCTCTTGAATCCGAAGTTTCATCATCGAAGACTCTGAATGACTCAAGCACAGGAAGCTCTTAATGTACACGTCATCGTGACTGACCCGCTAACGAGATAGGCACACCGCCGCTAAGCACGCCGTTTTTTGCATAACTTCGTATAAGAAGCTTTATCGAGAGGAAGCACCGCCCGCTACACGCCGTTTTCGATACTGGAGAAGAACTGTTCCTTGGAACATGCGACAGCAGAGGCGTTGGCGGTGTGGGTGTCCTCGTCAACACGCACTTGGCCATAAACATCGATTCGTACGAAAGCCTTACGACCCGAATCGGACGTTTGAGATTGAGAAGATGTGGTTCAACTCCTGCTTTGACAATCTTCGTCGCCTACGCACCAACATCCAGCTACGACGAGGAGGAACACGAAGCATTTTATATGGAATTGGAGAAGTTCTACAGGAAGATCATACCTTCTTCAAGGTCATCGTCGGCGACTTCAACGCCAAGATTGGCCCAAGAAGAACGGCTGAAGAACTTCACATCGGTACTCACGGAATGGATTGGAATGAGCAGGGCGAAAGACTGTCTGAGTTTATCATGTCGACCAACACCATCCATGGTAACTCACAGTTCCAGAAGCCCTCTCACCTTCGTTGGACTTGGGAGTCACCTGATGGACAGTTCCATAACGAGATAGACCACATCATCTTCAATCGAAGGTTTTGCCTGACCGACGTCGCTGTTGTTCCAAAGTTCTACACGGGATCGGACCATCGTCTCCTCCGCGCAAGATTCCACTTCTCGATGCGTGTTGAGAGAGCCTCAAAGTTCAGGAAGCGAAGCCCCAGGACAGTCATCAACTGGGATCACTTCACTTCTCTTGTCAGCTTATGGGAGGATTCCGTTATCGAAAACATCGACGAGGAATACATCGGCTCGTTGAACATCTTCACGATTGTGGCAGGAAGGCAGAGAGTTTGAAGTCACCAAGGGACGTCTGTCTCCGGAAACTCTCGAGCTGATACGCCAACGTGGAGCCGCACGAGCTGCAGGCAATCACCGACTCACGTCCGAGCTTGCGAAGCTATGCAGAGAGGCGATAAAGGAAGATCTCAAGGAGCGAAGAGCAGCAGTATTAGCTGAAGCAGCAGAGGCTGGGAGGAGCATCCGCAATGCCCGCCGAAGCTTTGCCAGCTACAAGACCAAGATGACCTGCCTCCGACGTCCGGATGGAACAGTTACTGCATCCCGAAGGGCAATGGAG